GCCTTTTAAAAAACAAGTTCACATCATATTCTTATGCATGCCAGTGCTATGTGTGAGGTAATTTAAGGTGGTTATGACAAGTGTCGTCGGCATCTTCATATCCGGTCACATGGGCAGCAACCACACCCATCCGGTCACATGGGTGGCAAGACACTCCCACAAAGGAGGCCACACCTACAGAGTAGGTTCAAACAATTTTTGAAACCCACCACTGCTTTGACAGATCTGGAAAAAGCCTGATCTCATTTAGAAAAGAAGAGGCACAGGTCAAAAATTTGGAAAGCCTGGACTGGTTCTCTCTGTTGTTTTTCTACATTAAAAAAAAAGGAACTGATTTTATGGTGAAGTTTGGATGGTCTTTAAAAAGTTTTTTTGTGTGTGTCTTCAAAATAAATACAGTAGTAAAAATGGAAAACTAAGCATGACACCTAATGGTTAGCGAGGATACTGCAGTGGATTGAAGAAATAATGCATGCTTATATGAGCTATGGAATATTGAGAGGCAAAAAGTATATCACGATAGGTAGGTAGGCTGTCTGGGGGACATTTACCCTCTAAAATTAAAGCAGGCTGCCCAGGAAGTGCTTTATATGCCATCTTGAGTTCTTGAATGAAAAGGAAATCAATAAAAGTTTGGGGTTATTTTATTCCAGATTCCTCCATACAACAGATTCCAGAACCAAAAGCCATTATCCTCACCATCCATACCTTATTAAATCTGCATTAAAAATAGCATTGCACAGTATCTTTCTAAAAAGATTAGTCTGGTGATCAGTTAGCCATGTGATTTGATGAGCTATTCTATTTTTGCCCCCTTTTTTTTTTACATTCATTTTGGGAAGGGGGAAATGTTTCTTCTGTCCTATATAGGCAATCAGACCGTCTTTCTTAGGCTCCATTTTATAGGCCCTGCTGCATATGTTTCTCTGTGTGACCTAATGGGAGACTTCAATGCAAGCAAATTTATAGAATTTACACCTGGCATTTAGCAGATATAAAATTTCCTCCTTCAAAAATGAAGCTTGATGGTTGATGCTCTTGGATGCAACCCTGGCCAGCAGGAGTGAAGCTCGTTCCCTTGGAGTGTCTGGCCTGATGCTGCTACCATGTCCTAAAATCCTGGAAGCCACAGGAAATCAGTCATAAAGTGTTGGGGTATTAGAGAGGCTTTGATCTCCACTAAGAATCACACCTAAGAAAGCTGATTGTGTAATTCTATAAAACCTTCATGAATTTTAGGGCTCGGCACATAGTTAATCTTCAAAGGTTAAGTAACATCACATTTCACTATTTCACTAGGTTCAGCTGCAAAGTCGGTTGCTAGAAGTAAAAAACGACTTGATAGCATTTAATAAGTGGAAACACGTTGCAAACGCCTTAGGTAGAAACTGGAGAAGGATGATTTTTTTCTGCCTCCTATCTGGAGGTGGTGCTCAAACAGGCAACACTTGTGCCTAGAAAGCAGATAATACCTGTGGTTGAGCTTAAAGGAGTTAAAACCATAGAGTACTGTATTTCTAGAAAGGTTGGAAAGCGGGAAGAGTGGAAGAAAGAAAATCCAGTTGCCTTTTGAAAAAAGCACCTTTGGGAACAGCTGAACTTCCTGTTCCAGATCACTCATGGGAGGAGAGTGTTGTACAGAGCGGCTTTTGTGCTCTTCCCATGGTCGAAGCAGCAGCTGGAAGGTGAGTTTCAGGCGGGTGGGAGGAGAGTCCTGGAAACAGAGAAGCAACTGGGCTGAAGCATCTCAGCTGCTGCTGCTGCTGCT